TTGTCAATGATGTGAGGGGCGCGGCAATGGAGGCGAACTTTGGCACAAAGCGGCGATACCAGCCCGATAATCCCAGAAAGGACCTCACGTCCTTCTTCGTCCGGGGCCTGGGGCAGTTGCGAATCGCCTCCACTTTATCAACCTGCGGCCGCACTTCACCCCGTCCAAGACGATAGCCCAGGTACTGAGTCTCTTTCTTCGCCCACTCACACTTGGAAGGATTCAGGGTCAATCCAGCCTCCTGAATCTTTCCCAGAACCAAAGATAAGTGGTTCAAGTGTTCCTCCCAGGTGTGACTGAACACCACCACGTCGTCCAGATAGGCCGCGCTGCACTGACCACTCCCTTGGAGGACTCTGTCCATTAATCTTTGGAAGGTGGCCGGGGCTCCATGCAGTCCAAAGGGCATGACAGTAAATTGAAAGAGCCCGGCTGGTGTCTGGAAGGCGGTAAAAGGTCGGCTGGACTTCCCCAAGGGCACCTGCCAGTACCCCTTACACAAGTCGAGGGTGGTGATATACCGGGCACTTCCAATGCGCTCGAGCAGTTTGTCAATACACGGCATGGGGTAGGCGTCAAACTCTGAAATTGCATTGAGTTTGCGGAAGTCAATACAAATCCTGAGGGAACCATCCTTCTTCAGCACTATCACTACTGGGTTACACCACTCAGAATTAGACGGCTCAATGACTCCTAACCGCTGCATCTCTTCCACTTCCTCTCTGAGCTTGTGGACTAGGTGCTGTGGAACGCGATATGACCGTTGGCGGATTGGGCGTCCCTCTCTCAAGCGGATCACATGCTCTACTAAAGTAGTCCGTCCAGGTTTGGCTTGGAACAGGGATGGAGCTTCTTCAAAAACCTGGAACAACCGTGTTGTCTGCTCTGGAGTGAGGTGGGCCAACACGGGAACTGCAGATTTGGGCAGGGACTCCATCCCCAACTTCTCCTCATCTGAGTCTACTTTCTTCACCAGTAGGGATTGCAAGGAAGGTGGTGCATCTTTCCACGCCTTGAGTAAGTTGACATGATAAGTCTGTTTTGACTTCTTTTTGTCCGGATGATGCACCTCATACGTCACAGGGCCCATTTTGCGAACAATTGTGTAAGGCCCCTGCCACTTCGCCAATAGTTTGCTGTTTGCCGAAGGCAGCAGCAAGAGAACCTTTTGTCCAGCCTGGAACTCCCGATGACCAGCCTGCTGATCATACCAGGTCTTTTGGCTGCGTTGGGCATCCCGCAGGTTCACCTCTGCCTCCTCCTGGTACTTCCCCAGCCTATCCCTCATGTCCAGGACATACTGTACAATGCTTCGTTCATTGGGTTGAGGGGTGGCTTCCTCCCAGCCTTTACGCAGGAGATCCAGGGGACCTTGAACATCCCAGCCGTAGAGGAGCTCAAATGGCGAGAACCCGGTCGAGGCCTGCGGCACTTCTCGATAGGCGAATAGACAAAATGGCAGCCACTGGTCCCAGTCCTTGCCAGTGTCTGATACAAACTTTCGCAGCATCTTCTTCAATGTCTGGTTAAATCTTTCAACGAGACCATCAGTTTGAGGATGATACGGCGTTGTTCGGAGTGGAGAGATACCCAGCTGCTTATGGAAAAGTTGCATAAGCCGAGAGGTGAAGTTCGTACCCTGATCTGTCAGAATTTCATCAGGGATTCCTACACGGGAGAACAGCTGAATGAGAGCACGCACAACCGCGGGAGCAGTTATTGTTCGCAGAGGAAATGCTTCCGGAAAGCGGGTGGCATAATCTGAAATAACCAGGATATACTGAAAACCTCGGCTACTTTTCGGGAGGGGTCCAACAATATCCATGGCTATGCGGCGGAAGGGAATGTTAATGACGGGTAAAGGCTGAAGGAAAGCTCGGTCAGATTTGCGGACAAAGCATGTCTTTTGGCAACTTGGACACGAAGCACAGTATTTCTGTATATCGGAATACATGGATGGCCAATAAAATCTAGAGCTAACACGGAGATAGGTTTTATGTCGGCCCAAGTGCCCCGCCCACGGAATAGTATGTGCAAGGTGCATAACAAGTGGTCTAGCGGTGGAAGGTACTACCAGCCGTTTAGAACTTTCCCCCACATTATACAACACATCATTGTCAAGTACAAAACATTCCTGGTCAAATTTAGATTCTTTTGCACTGTTAATCACCTTTGAAAACAGCGGTTTCAACGTACTATCACCCTTCTGTAACTCTGAAATGTCCCCTGGCACTTCCCAATGGCCTTTAATCTCCCCCCGCTCGTCTGGGCACTCCCTGTGCAGCTGCTTTTCAAAACGGCGCTGACGCCGAGACTTTCTCAGCCCTTTAGAACCCCCCTCAAAAACACTGTCATCAAAATAAAATGGTAGATCAGGTAAACTATCACCAACTGGATTCAGGCTACCCCCTGCCCCCGAGTCCAATGTGTTTGATGCAACCTGGAGATTGTTCCTAGCCTGCGCCCGAGTCAGTACCGGACAGGATCGACTGGTTGTCTCCTTCTCCTCTGGGTCATGTCTATTGTCCAATAACAAGTCCAGTAGTATGGGTAGGTAAGTATTACCTGAACCGGCAGGTTCTCCACAACCCCCACAGTCAGCAGGTAGGTTTGCCCATCAATGTCCACAGTCAAGTCAGTGGTTGGAAAGAGGTGTCTGTCACCATGTACACATACAATGTCCTCCTGCACCCCATAGTCTATTTTACTCACTGGTACAAGATCCTGCCTTACAAGAGACATGAAGCTGCCACTGTCCAACAAAGCATTCACTCTTTGTCCATTTACTACCAGAAGCTTATGCCGTCTCAAAGTCACAGTCTGTCTGTCTCTTTCAGGCCGTGGCGCGTAACATGCACCAGAGAGCTTTGTTTTACGGATAGGGCAGAGTGAGGCCTTGTGTCCTGATTGTTGACAGTAAAAGCAGATAAGCTCCTTACCGTATCCTGGTCGACTTGAGGGGTGTCCGGAGTTACCTGGAGGAGTATCATGGCTGGCCTCTGGTCTCACCAATCTGGGCGGCGGTGCTGGTCGACGAGCAGAGCTGCTTGAGTACGATGTCATGCTCCCCTTCCGAGCATTGAAGTATTGGAGAGCCAGCTTGGAAGCTGCCAGCCCATTCTTCGGTTCATGTTCCTTCACCGACGTTCTCACCTCTCCCGGAAGAACACGAAGTAGCTGCTCCAGGATGATAGCCTCTCCTATATCCTCCTTGGTGTGTAGCTCCGGATGGATCCAGCGTCGATAAAGGGACTTCAGACGGTGATACGTTTCAGTTGGGTTTTCATTCGGAGGGACAACGGTTGACCTAAACTGCTGACGTTATGTCTCTGGGGAAATGTCAAATTTTTCCTGCAGTGCAGCTTTGAGCTCTGGATATGAGCTTGCTCCTTATCCATTGCTGTATACGCCTCTAATGCTTTGCCGGTAAGCAGGGGAACCAGGCGGCAAGCCCACTCGTTCTCTGGCCACGCCCATGTCTTTGCAATGCGTTCAAAGCGCAGGAGATAGTTCTCAATGTCCTCTCCAACCTGATACAGTGGAATTTTGGGGTCACTGTACGATCTGACCTCTGGTCTCGGTTGTTCCAGTACCCCGCTTCTCTCTCTCATGGAGTTTTGGTCACGCTGCCGAGGTGCAGGAGTGGGCAGGTCGATTCGTGGACTCCAAGCGGATGAGCGATCTCCATCTGGGGAACCAGCCCGCTGTGGCCCTGATGTTCGGAGTTCTCTGAGCTCAGCGAGCAGACCTTCTTCCCTCCTCTGCTGTCCCTCCAGGAAGCCCCGCATCAGTGCCAATAGCTCCCCTCCTGATCCATCGGATGGAGGTTGGCCCCGGGAGGAGGGCTCCTCTTCGTCCTCCGTCGCCCAGGCATCTTCATCTCGCTCTATTCCCCCGGTGGCCCCCAAAGACAAACTCTCAGTCTTCTGTGACCTGAGTCCGGTGCGTTTGCTCGGAAAATAAGAAGTAGTAGTAAGTAAGTAATCTTTATTTATATACCGCCTTTTCACTGCACATCGGAGTCTCAAAGCGGTTTACAATTGTTATTTTTTAGGGAGCAGGGGTGCCAGTACAGGAGGCACATGCCAGACCTATTGTACATATTTTTAGTGGTAGGGGAAACCGGAGCACCCGGAGGAAACCTACGCAGACACGGGGAGAACATGCAAACTCCACTCAGAAAGGCCCTGGTCCAACCGGGATTCGAACCCAGGACCTTCTTGCTGAGAGGCAAGAGTGCTATCCACTCAGCCACCGTGCCGAAGAATGCTTCTTCTGACTGGCCATCCCACTTCTGACACCATATGTTGTGGGGTCTTTTTCCAAAAACACAATGGCTCAGTCAAAAAACACTTTTCACAGTGATTTATTATTTCCCATTATTATCCCAGTGCAATACAGTGCAATATTTACAAGTTGTAGGCGCATGTGTCATCTCAGGTTCTCGGGTGTTGCCTTCTCTGCAACCAAGCATCACTAAACTCGAGCAGGCCAGACCGGTCCTGCTCTTAAAGCACAAGCCCCTCCCCTGGGCGTTTGACAAACACAAAATACATTCACTGACTTTAAAGCCCATTTACCCCCAAGACAATACTATAGAAATAGTCCCCACTACACAGTAAAGAATAGGATAATCCCCACACTGAATAATCCCCCTTTACAGTCATAAGAAACAAAAACACAAAATAAGGATCACATGACGCTCCTCAACACTTATAATGTGTGTGTGCGTCTCTGCCTCTGTTGGGTCGACCCACGGGACACACGTGCGCAGTCCCGAGGAGCACGTGCACACACACGCTCCAGAGAAAAAGAGCGTGCGTCGCAGTGCGGTGCTCTCAGTACTAGGACAAGCTGTGTGGCCCCGTCACAGTGTCCTTCAGGGTGCGTGTGTGTGTGTCCGTCACGGTGTGTGTGTCCATGATGTGTGTCCGTCACAGTGTGTGTGTCTTTCATGGTGTGTGTGTGTGTTCTTCATGGTGCATGTGTGTGTGTGGCAGCGTATGGGCGTGGCTACGCCTGGGAACCCGCCTCTCAGTCCATCTTTGAGGGGGACATGGTCCGCTGGTGTTGGTCAACTCCGGCGTTGCTGGACGTGAAGTACCGCGTGTTTTCCGTCGCCACGCCGAGCGCTCACACGTTTGAAGGCGGTCCTTTCAACAGCGGCGCCGCGACGCAGAACGGTAAAGTCTGTCCCTGTGTCTCACTGTCCCTGTGTCTCACTGTCCCTGTGTCTCACTGTCCCTGTATCCCTGTGTCTCACTGTCCCTGTGTCTCCCTGTCCTCTAACCCTAACCCTGTCTAACCCTAACCCTGTCTAACCCTGTCTAACCCTGTCTAACCCTAACCCTGTCTATCCCTGTCTAACCCTAACCCTGTCTATCCCTGTCTAACCCTAACCCTGTCTAACCCTGTCTAACCCTATCCCTGTCTATCCCTGTCTAACCCTGTCTAACCCTAACCCTGTCTATCCCTGTCTAACCCTAACCCTGTCTAACCCTGTCTAACCCTGTCTAACCCTGTCTAACCCTGTCTAACCCTGTCTAACCCTAACCCTGTCTAACCCTGTCTCTAACCCTGTCCACAGGCTGCTTCTCCTCGGTCTTCTCGGCTCCAGGGGTGTTCTACTACAGCAGTGGATTGGTGGACGTTGGTAAAAGCCGGTTTCTTCAGGGACTGGTGAAGGTCCTTCCTCGGCCTCAGAAGAGTCTGGACCTGGTCCTGAAGGTGTCAGGAGTGGAAGCTTTACACAAACCTGCTGGTAATTCTCTCATCCTCATTTTACATTTATATATATATATATTAGTGCTGTCCAAAATATCGCGTACAAACAAACACATATACAGAAAAAAAATAGAAACAAAGAAAAGGACTAGTTCAGATACATTGTAGACAGAGATTACAAACAATATGTAGTTGGAGATACAGGGGGCCAAAGAAGAAACCCAGAAGGGCACATAGGAGGGGGGGGGGACATGAAGTGGGAGATGGGGGGGAGGGGTTAATAAAAAAGGCAATACAAGCAAACAGTATACAGTCATAGATATACCGAAGGTAAACAGAGAAACAGCATAGAGTATTTACATGAACCAATTTACAAAATATTTACAGATTGTTTATCATCATCATAATGACACCATGATGTTTCTATACAGTCTATGGTCTATACCCACACATACACACACACACCCATAAACACACACACACACACACACATACACCCCACACCCATAAACACACACACTCCACACACACACACACATACACATACACACCCACACCCATAAACACACACACTCCACACACACACACACATACACCCCACAGATAAGATAAGATATAAAGTCTGCCCGCCTGAGTTTCACCAAGCTAAGCGGAACCCAGCCAACAACAAAACCAAATCCGACACACACACAGACCCCCAAGCAGGCCCCCACCCCAAACAGGGGGGGAGGGAGCCCACGCCCGGCCCATGCCCTCTCTTATTTTGTTCCTTTTTCCCAAGTGTTTTTCTTAACTAAACGTGTCATGCATTAAAATAAGCTTTCGCTTACCCTGACTTGTGTATTATCATTATATGCACATATGCATATATTATTCATGTTATTATTATATTTATCTACTTATTCATTCATTTTTTATTTTATTTTATTATTATTATTAATTTTATTTTATTATTTTTATTTTAATTAATTCAAGGGACATAAATAATAGATACAAATGTGTGACTAATTTGCGATTAATCACGAGTTAACTATGAAATTCATGCGATTAATCGCGATTAAATATTTTAATCGTATATATATATATATATATATATATATATATATATATATATATATATATATATATATATATGTATGTATGTATATATATATGTATGTATGTATTTATTTATATATATAAATACATACACACATTCGTTTAAATAATAACTGTGCTGTGTTTTTTATTTTGTGCTTTGGCCACAGTCGGTCAGAGCTCAAATAAAAATGTGTGATTTATTTGAATAGAACATCCAATGCTTCAGACAAATGCAGAGCTACAGTATATTTAGAGTTTAGTTTATTTTTCCCTAAAACAAAGAAATAGAAAAGAGTTTTACTTTTATTGTTGTGTCGCACAGAAACAAAATAAATACATATAATGTGTGTAACTCTCACAAAATAACACCTGTTGATGATATTGACTAAACACAGATTTAAACTGCATTAAGCCACGTTTCTGTGAAAACAGTTTATATTTCTACACTTTTGACGTTAGTGACCATTGTGTTTACTTTCTACCACCCTGACCACTCCCACAGGCGTTAGCTCACTGCTACCACCCTGACCACTCCCACAGGCGTTAGCTCACTGCAGGGTCCATTTACAAGTTACATAAATCATCTTTAATTACAATTAAAATACAATCTTTAATTAAGTTATATATATTTACGACATGTGTCTCCTCCAGACTCGTCTCGCTCTCGCCGGTCGTCCCAGGACTGTGTGGCGTCTCCTCTGTGCCCGGAGGCAAACTCTTCTTCTTCTTCTTCTGGCGTCTCCTTCACCGTGGCGCCCTGCTCCACTCCCACCGTTTACTCCATCTCTCCAAACCAGGGCAGCTACCACGAGCCCGTCCACGTCAGCGGCTCCGGCTTTGGCAACGTGTCCTGCGCCATCAAGGTCAGTAGACTGATACATAAGCTCCGCCCACTACTGAGAAGCTCCACCCCCTACTGATAAGCTCCACCCACTACTGATAAGCTCCACCCCCTACTGATAAGCTCCGCCCACTACTGAGAAGCTCCACCCCCTACTGATAAGCTCCACCCACTACTGATAAGCTCCACCCCCTACTGATAAGCTCCACCCACTACTGATAAGCTCCACCCTCTCACTGATAAGCCCCAACCTCTCACTGATAAGCTCCACCCCTCTGATAAGCTCCACCCACTCACTGATAAGCTCCACCCTCTCACTGATAAGCTCCACCCTCTCACTGATAAGCTCCACCCTCTCACTGATTAGCCCACCCTCTCACTGATAAGCTCCACCCTCTCTGATAAGCTCCACCCCTCTGATTAGCTCCACCCTCTCTGATAAGCTCCACCCTCTCTGATAAGCTCCACCCTCTCTGATAAGCTCCACCCTCTCTGATAAGCTCCACCCTCTCTGGTATCCATCTTTTTTATCCCTGTGTAGAATGTAAAGTCTAAAACTAGTATCAGTAATATCTTTGTCAGTGGGAAGCTCCAAATACAGTAACTTTTTCTCATCTAATGCATCTCGATGTGAACTGCAACAAGTGAAAAGACTAAATACCCAAGATTCACCTGGGGTTTCTGTTGCCTGACCTGATTCTGCAATTTTCAAAGATTGACAAAGATTGACAAAGATTGACTGGCAGATGGCAAGTTTTAAAGGGGAGGGACAAATGAGCTTGTTAGCAATTATTTAAAATTTTTTATATAATTGTTACTTTATATTGATGAGGATCCTGCCAGTAGGTTAAAAACTCTACAACACTTTAAACTATCCCACACCTACGGTACACAACACTGTGTGTGGCTGTTAAAGGGCATCTCACTCTTAAAAGAGTATTTGTTTTAGATGCTTCTGAAATACTAAACTCCTGATCTTGTGTTTTTAAAGGTGACGATCGGAGACGAGCCGTGTCACGTGATCAACAGCTCCAACACAGACGTGTTCTGTCGGCTCAGCGCTGACAGCGAGCTTCCCGTCGGAATCGCCCACGCGCTCGCTCTCCGGGTCGACAACCTTGGCAGCGCCATCGTCATGGTGACAGACGAGATGCAGCGGCGCTTCGTCCTGCTGCCGGTGGTGGACTCGGTCTGGCCTCACATCGGCAGCACCAACGGCCTCACGCGGCTTTCCATCCACGGCTCGGGCTTCTCCGATGGAGCCGTGACCGCCGCCAGCACAAAGTGCCCCATAGTGTCTGTGAACTACACCCACATCACCTGCGACACCTACAGCTCTCAGGCCAACACCGGGGACGTCCTGTACCAGGCCGGGCCGATCCGCTCCAGCTGTCACTCAAACTGCTCCTTTGAATACTCCACTGCGGTCACTCCCAGCGTCTCAAAGCTTTCTACGTACTCCGTCAGCGGGCCGAGCCGTGTGGAGATCTCTGGGGTCGGGTTTGGGAACAGAACTGGAGATGTGTTTGTCACAGTTGGATCGGCAGAAGCAGACGTCCTCTCTGTGGCAGACGACAACGTCACCATCGCAGTCGGCGCATTACCAGCCGCGCAGCACAGAGTCAAAGTCATTGTGAGGAGCAAAGGACTGGCCAACCGACAGTTTTCAATCACAAGTGAAGCCAAAGCCAGCCTGTCGCCACAAGGGGGCAGTGTGGAGGGCGGGACCCCGGTGGTCTTCACAGGGAATGGTTTTGCTCCGGGGAATACCAATGTGACGATCGGAGGGAAGCCATGCATTATTGAGAGTGTGACACCGAGCGAACTGCGCTGTCACTCACCTCCGCACAGCCAGGGGGCAGCAGAGGTGCAGGTCCTGGTGTTTTCACAGAAGTATCCGACTCTGACGTTCAACTACTCCTCCGACCTCACGCCGGTCGTCAGCTCTGTCAGCCCCCCCAGCGGTAATCACTGCATAATACACAGAAGAAACATCTTAGACATAATACATACTAGTGACATCTGTTCAAACAGTTACAAATAATTTCTAATCATGATTGTTTTGATCCAGGCCCGAGTGGCTCCGCCCTCACACTGACAGGGTCTGGGTTTGGGTCGGACCTGCTGCAGGTCTCGGTCAGTCTGAACGGAGTCTCCTGCACCGTGTCCTCTGTCAGCGACTCCCAGGTGCAGTGCATTGTGGGTAACAACCCCGGGGGCCCGTACCCCGTCTTGCTGCAGCACCTGCACAAAGGCACCGCTCGGTCTGACGTCATCTTCAACTACGACCTGACTCTGAGCCGAGCCGAGCCAAACCAAGGCAAGTCCACAACCACCACTCACATACCTCGCTTTAAACTAAATGTTATTCATTATTCTATCTGTATGTATATGTGTGTGTGTGTGTGTGTGTACGTGTGTGTGTGTACGTGTGTGTATGTGTATGTGTGTGTTTGTGTGTATGTGTGTGTGTCTGTGTTTGTGTGTGTGTGTGTGTGTGTGTGTGTGTGTGTGTGTGTGTGTGTGTGTGTGTGTGTGTATGTGAGCGTGTGTGTGTGTGTGTGTGTGTGTGTGTATGTGTGTGTGTGTGTGTCTGTGTGTATGTGAGCGTGTGTGTGTGTGTGCGTGTGTGTATGTGTGTGTGTATATTTATGTGTGTGTGTCTCCAGGTAGTTTTGGAGGCGGGGCCCTGCTGTCCGTCCACGGCTCTGGATTCGACCCTGAAACTGCAGAAGTCCACATCTGTGACAAACTCTGCGACGTGGATCGAGATTCTTCAACTTCCTCTGAGCTGAGGGTCCACTCTCCCAATAACAACGGTACGAAGGGCCGAGCAGGACCAATGAGATGGTCCAATGAGATGGTCCAATGAGATGGTCCAATGAGATGGTCCAATGAGATGGGCCAATGAGATGGTCCAATGAGATGGGCCAATGAGATGGTCCAATGAGATGGGCCAATGAGATGGTCCAATGAGATGGTCCAATGAGATGGGCCAATGAGATGGTCCAATGAGATGGGCCAATGAGATGGTCCAATGAGATGGACCAATGAGATGGACCAATGAGATGGTCCAATGAGATGGTCCAATGAGATGGACCAATGAGATGGACCAATGAGATGGTCCAATGAGATAATGGTCCAATAAGATAATACAATACACAATACAATACAATTTATTCTTGTATAGCCCTAGGTCACAACAGAAGTCATCTCAGAGACTTAACAAAACCATTGAAATCACCAACACAGGTCAGAGAATCAACAGTTAAAACACATGAAGAATATAAAGCACACACAGAAGAAAATGTCCATACATGTTGTAGAATGCTAAAGTGTCCTGATCATCACCAATCCTTTCTGTTGGACACTAACTGTCCAACAAGACCCTCCTGCATCCACAAGGAAAAACTCTTAAAAAAACCCAGTGGGAAAAAGTGAGAAACCTTGGGGAGAACTAGGGAAACCCACAGGGAGGGAGACCCATATGAGAAAGGGATCCGCTCCTCCGGACGGACAGGCTAATGATCCAGGACCTAAGCTAGCTACAGAACGTGGACCAGTGGACGCTGAACGTGGACAGGTCCGGTGCAGGACTGAAGCACTCCAGGCGGGTCGGGCGGGGCAGTCCGCAGGTGTAGATGGAGGAGGCCAGGCTCAGAGATCCCGTCATCGTACCATGAAACAGACAATGGGACAACGGGTGAATAGCAATGAACAAACTACAGTCTAGATCCTAAAAATGTTAAACAGATAAAGTAGGAAGGAGGAGAGGATAGTGCTCAAGTTACCATACTTCTCCAGCAGGGGCGCCCTATGCAGCTTGACTGACACTCTGAGGAGTTTAGCCTTCCCGAGTCTTACCTTCCTAACCATATGCTAAACTAAAGAGGACTGTTTTAAACCTAGCCTTGAATAAAGAGATTCATGGATTACACACCAGGTGTGCAAACCGATCCAGGCAAACCTAATTATATATTATATATCATATACATCACACGTATCATACATATTATATATATTATATATAATACATAACATAACATACAGCATAATATATAACATAATATACAACTTAACCCTCTATGGCATACTGTTGCCCTCGGGCAACAAACCAATCTTTTGGCTCTTACACTGGCCCTTTAATGTTTTTTTTTCATTTTTTTATTTATAAAATTACTAGACATGTTTCTGTCCAATTAAATCAAGTTCTGAAGTGGGTGGGGGCAATTGTCTGGGGGTGGAGCAGTCCTTTCAGGAAGCAGAGTCACAAGTGACACAGTGCCAGAAAAAGGTAGGATAAATAAAACTTTTCTACATGTTTAAATTCGAAAAACTTGATAAAATAAATATGTGACTGTGCATGAATATGTTAAGAAGCATATTTGATTGTTAATATATGTTTTTTGTTTCCATTTATATACAAAAACTGCACGTTTAGGTTTGTTGCCTCAAGGCAACATCATGCAGTTGTAGCACTTTTGTTTGGGCAGTGTAATGCTGCTGGTTGGGGATGTGCTTGAATGGATAATCAACACCACACTCAATGTTTTTTGCTGTTCTATCTTCCATTCTGATCTATCTACTATTGCTTGTAGGAAATGGATGCAATAACGTTTTACGGGTCCAAGAATGAAGGAGTTAGGGACATTCCAATCGATAGTCCTGGTCTCAGGTCTCTGTCCTGAAGTCCTCTCACATTAGTCCAGGTCTCAGGTCTCTGTCCCTGAAGTCCTCTCACATTAGTCCTGGTCTCAGGTCTCTGTCCTGAAGTCCTCTCACATTAGTCCTGGTCTCAGGTCTCTGTCCTGAAGTCCTCCCACATTAGTCCTGGTCTCAGGTCTCTGTCCTGAAGTCCTCTCACATTAGTCCTGGTCTCAGGTCTCTGTCCTGAAGTCCTCTCACATTAGTCCTGGTCTCAGGTCTCTGTCCTGAAGTCCTCTCACATTAGTCCTGGTCTCAGGTCTCTGTCCTGAAGTCCTCCCACATTAGTCCTGGTCTCAGGTCTCTGTCCTGAAGTCCTCTCACATTAGTCCTGGTCTCAGGTCTCTGTCCTGAAGTCCTCTCACATTAGTCCCTGGTCTCAGGTCTCTGTCCTGAAGTCCTCTCACATTAGTCCTGGTCTCAGGTCTCTGTCCTGAAGTCCTCTCACATTAGTCCTGGTCTCAGGTCTCTGTCCTGAAGTCCTCTCACATTAGTCCTGGTCTCAGGTCTCTGTCCTGAAGTCCTCCCACATTAGTCCTGGTCTCAGGTCTCTGTCCTGAAGTCCTCTCACATTAGTCCTGGTCTCAGGTCTCTGTCCTGAAGTCCTCTCACATTAGTCCTGGTCTCAGGTCTCTGTCCTGAAGTCCTCCCACATTAGTCCTGGTCTCAGGTCTCTGTCCTGAAGTCCTCTCACATTAGTCCTGGTCTCAGGTCTCTGTCCTGAAGTCCTCTCACATTAGTCCTGGTCTCTGTCCTGAAGTCCTCTCACATTAGTCCTCAGGTCTCTGTCCTGAAGTCCTCTCACATTAGTCCTGGTCTCAGGTCTCTGTCCTGAAGTCCTCTCACATTAGTCCTGGTCTCAGGTCTCTGTCCTGAAGTCCTCTCACATTAGTCCTGGTCTCAGGTCTGTCCTGAAGTCCTCTCACATTAGTCCTGGTCTCAGGTCTCTGTCCTGAAGTCCTCTCACATTAGTCCTGGTCTCAGGTCTCTGTCCTGAAGTCCTCTCACATTAGTCCTGGTCTCAGGTCTCTGTCCTGAAGTCCTCCCACATTAGTCCTGGTCTCAGGTCTCTGTCCTGAAGTCCTCTCACATTAGTCCTGGTCTCAGGTCTCTGTCCTGAAGTCCTCCCACATTAGTCCTGGTCTCAGGTCTCTGTCCTGAAGTCCTCTCACATTAGTCCTGGTCTCAGGTCTCTGTCCTGAAGTCCTCTCACATTAGTCCTGGTCTCTGTCCTGAAGTCCTCTCACATTAGTCCTGGTCTCTGTCCTGAAGTCCTCTCACATTAGTCCTGGTCTCTGTCCTGAAGTCCTCTCACATTAGTCCTGGTCTCAGGTCTCTGTCCTGAAGTCCTCTCACATTAGTCCTGGTCTCAGGTCTCTGTCTTGGCTGTGAAACATCTATGTTTCACAGCCACTAGCAACTGCTTCTTGCTGTTCCATACACAATAGGCTACCGAGACCCGCAGCTGTGTGACTTACTAGAGGCTCAGAACTGTTTTTGCTTTTGTTTTTGCAATCTGGAGTGCTCTGTACCCGTTTAAAAAAGTTGAGCTTGAAAAATAAAAGAATAAAAGCTTCTCTAATGTATTTGTTTTATTATTTTCCTAATTCAATGTAATATTGAAAACCTTGGTGTTTTAGTACCCTCGTCGCACAATGTTGACCTTAAGCAACAAACCATTATCTGATTGGGGGGGTGGGGGGGGGGGTCAAATGTAAAGATCAATGTTATTAGGGACCCACGAGCTCTTAAAAAGTGTGTTGAAATATTTTTTTCCCCCTAAAATAAAAAGTCATGCCATAGAGGGATAACATAATACATATACTGTATAATATATAACATAATATATAACATAATACAGCATATATATATATAATATATACACCATATATTATATATGACCTAATTATATGCTAAATTAAAGTAGAGTGTTTTAAGCCTGGCCTTGAATGTGGAGACCGTATCTGCTTCCTTAACATAAATGAAGCTGATGATGGTCCAATGAGATGTTGGTTCTTACTGAAGGTTCTGTTGAATTGGTCCAGTGTGACGTCTTTGTGATAATACATTTTCTGACTTCAGCTGCACAAACCAGAGAGTGGGAAAACCAATTATTTTTGTTGCTGTGTTATTTTTGAGTGTGAGTAAAGTGTGAGAAAAGGGGAGCAGTTGGTCAGATCAGGCTGGGTCACATTAGACACGTGTGAAGCCCTTTTTAATACTTTAGTTTGAAAACACATAACTGGAGTACAAAAGAGGAGCAGTAGGTACTGAAAGACACAAGTAGAACCACAGTACACTCAGTTTTATGATAAGATAGACTTTATTGATTTCTGATGGATAAATGAACATGTGACATCACAGATGGAATCACTCAGATTCAGAAGTGAAACATGTTAAAGGTTAAACATATCGTCTGTGCAGGATGTATTATTATTGATATTTCCTTTGTCTCTGTTTGAAGCCCTAAAGTCCTTTTCTCTGAGTTATCGTCCGCTCCTTCAGCTCAGGGTTAAAGGAGATCCATCGCTGAGTTCACAAAGAATTCTCAATTTTCAGCTTTAGTCTGAAAAGAGCTTTACCTTTGGGGTTTTGTACATCGCTCTGCTTCAAATGGGTCTAATTGTTGCTTGACAAAAGTTAAAATTACACGGTTAATGTTTGTGGAGTCGACAAAAGCACAACTGGAAAATTTGGTCTTTGAAAAATGCTGTTTTGAGCTGAACAGACTAGAATGTGTGAGACGTTAGGTCGACCTTCGGGACGTTTCATTGTTTAGTCATGACCTTTTACCACATTACATCATCTATAATAATAAAACATCTATAATAATAATAATACATCCATCCATCCATCCGTTTTCTTCCGCTTCATCCGTTGCCGGGTCGCGGGGGCAGCAGTCTAAGGCTGTCTACACGT